TGCAGCATGTCCAAGCACCTGCTCTCTAGGCCAAGTAAATTAACAACTTCAAAAAGGAAAGATTAAAAAGGCTTTAAAGATGCCATAAAGCAGGGGCAGAAGCAGAGCCTCGCACAGCAAGAACTGGGCAGAGAATGGTCCTGTCTAAACAATGTCCTCAGGCAAGTGGTGACAGGCAGGCTCCAAGAATAACAGCTGCGGCCACTGGTCCCTGAACAATGTTTTGTGTGTCTGCAACACACAACGTGTTATTGGCCACCCAGCGGCCCCTCCCACCCAGAAACAAATCCACCAGCAGCAGCAGTGTTTTCAGATACAAAGGAGAGTACGGTTCTAAGGAAACCCAGCGCCACATGGCTTATCTGCAAGGGCATGTCCCACCGGCTATCTGTCCTGGTCCATCAATAAACAACCCAAACAAAGCACAAGGAGCTGTATTAACAACCAAGACATGCATTTTGAAGGTCAAGCGCTGAAGCCACAACTACATCAATACTGTATCAGTAAGTCTAGGGCTCATTATTTCTACAAATCCCCAATTAAAAGATATAATATGCCCTTACTTTTTTCCCCTATACTACCTTGCACCCCAAGCTTCATCACTAACATCTCTCTATATATATCCTTCCCTAACTGCAGTCTTCCTGGACCCCATCAAAGAATTTTCTACCTAGGTAAACACGCCTATCTGCCCTCCAACAATTCCCACTCTTTCATTTCTAAATCCACTATTTTTCACACCAACCTTGACTCTTCCTGTCCTAGCTTTTCCACTCTGCCCAGTGAAATACCTATTCTAATGTGAATAAACGCATCCACCTTCTCATTCCCTTAGAAAATATTCCTTTCATCTCCCTGACATACCAAGATCACATTCCTTCCTAAAGCACCTTTCCTCACACCGTCCCCTGCTGTCACCTCCAGATCAGCATTCCATCCTCTCTCCCAACAACCTTCCTCTCTTAGGGGTCTGTGCCGTCCACCTACACATCCTTCTAACCATCCTCATTGTGACCCTCCACCACGCTCCACAGCCCACACCCTCAGACTTCCTTCGGTGGTTTTAGCAACTGGCTCAGTCTTACCTTTAGATGAGGCAAAATTTTTCAAAACCATTGGTTTTTTAGAGAAAGAGAGAGAGAGTAAGGGAGAGGGATAGAGACAGAGAAACATCAACGAAAAGACAAACACCATCAATCAGCTGCCTCTTGCAAGCCCCCTACTGGGGATTGAGCCGGCAACATGAACATGTGCCCTGACTGGGAATCAAACCATGACCTCTTGGTTCCTAGGTTGACACTCAACCACTGAGCCATACCGCCCGGGCCAAAGCCATTTTTAAAAGGTCATATCAAAAGAGCTGTATTAGAATACATCAACAACAGTCACTAAGCAATGGAATATTTTTCTGGTATTGCTGGTCAGCAGGCAAGGAGACTACTGAGAGAGAGAGGTCATAGGTAGGGTGAGGGTGAGGGTGCGGGTGAGGTATAGCTCAGGAAAGAAGCAAAAATGTCTTGGTAATAAAAAGGTGTTATGGTTCAATTTTAGACTGTATGAAAATATCTTTTGATAAAAAATGGCCTCATTAAAATGTCATACGCCTCAAAGGAACTTCCTGGGTAGATGGAATTATTATAGATTGTGATAAAGTGTAGTGTACTGGGGATATCCATTTGACAAATGGGGATATCCATTTGTCAAAATTGATAGCTAACATTTGTGTATCTCAGTGCATGTAAATTATACCTCAAAAAAAAACAACAGTAAAATAAGAATAATGAGAATCAAGTGGATGGGGTTATAAAGGCAAAACATGAATGACAATGCTGATTACCTGTTGAAGATGAGTATTGGGTACATGAGGGTTCATTATACTATTCTGTTTTCACATGTTTGATATTTTCTATAATCAACTTTTTAAAATGCCACATACCCATCTCCCACACACCTCATGCTCGGCCATCCTATCCTTGATGCCTTCAACATCTACAACAAAGCTTCTGACACTGCAATTTCAATGGTTACCGGTGGTTTTTCAACAGGCCAAGAAAAGCACTAATTCAGCCTCCATGCTGGACATTCAAATGCTCCATTTCATGAGCACTCTCCTCCAGGAGCTCAACTTAAAAGATCTGTCTTGCTGAGAACTGGCTTACAATTCTTCCAGCTGCTTCCTTTGGTTCTTAGCTGTAACCTCATTCAGCTTCGATGTTCCTATTGGTCCTTTCCCAAGACTAGTTGTGAGAATCAAATGAAATAATAGATATGAAAATGAGAAGTAAAAGAGCAGTGCACATGAGGTCAAGGGACCTGGAACCCAGCCTCTGCTCAGACCTTTACTGCATGTAAGACTTTGTACAAATAAATCCTACAGATGCTTTGAGCTGCATCCATTCTTTGACAAGTATGGAACACTCTACTAACTGTCAGGAATACAAACGTGAACATGATAGATACAGCCTCCTGTCCTCATAGCCGAGAGGGAGATACAGATGAGTAAAAAGGCAACTATAATTAGAGTAGACTATGTGCTTGGATAGGGGAGTATATGAGAGAGGCACCTAATCTAGATTTAAGGGTGAAGGAATACTTCCCAAAAGGAAATGACCTTTAAGCTGAGCCTGAAATGAATAATAGGCCAAGAAGAGTTCCAGGCAGAGGGAACAAGGCTGAAAGACCTGTGCACAGAGGGCAAGTGTTAATAGTAGGTTCTACAGAAGTAAAGAGGATATAAAAAGCAAATATGAGGGGTCTTTCTATATAATTTCCTAGAACTGCATGTAAGTCTATAATTATCTTAATAAAACTTTTAAAAAGCATATGTGAGAGTATTCTGTACATTGAGAAGCGCTTTAACTATTTTAGTTAATATTATAACTAACTAGAGGCCCAGTGCATGAAATTCTTGCACTGGGGTGGGGGTGAGGGTGTCCCTCAGCCCAGCCTGCACCCTCTTGCAGTCTGGGACCCCTCAGGAGATGTCTAGGACCCCTCGCTCCTTATCACTTGGCTCACTGCTTAATACTGCTGTGAGGCAGGAGAGGCTCCCACTACTGCCACTGTGTTTGTCAGCCATGAGCCCAGCTTCTGGCTGAGAAGCACTCCCCCTATGGGAGCGCACTGACCACCAGGAGGAAGCTCCTGCGTTGAGCATCTGCCTCCTGGAGGTCAGTGCACATCATAGCGACCAGTCTTTCTGGTTGCTCCGCCATAAAGGTTGCTTAGGCTTTTGTTAGCTAGATCATCACTGCAGAATGTATACTGCTTAACGAGAGCCAAGTTGGAAAGATCATTATAATAGACATAGAATTACTAAGGACAGCTAGTGACCACATTTCAATAGTTGGCCAAAATTTTAAAAATCATGATTCGGTACCTTTCACATCTGGTCGATATGGTAGTCCATCATCTTTCTTTCCCAACAAACTAGTGTCATCTGTGTCTATAAGAGAAAACAGTTTTCAAATTAAGATACATATGATGTTTAAGTCACACCAGGTAACTCCCAAATATTACAAATGCTCCAGGTCCTTCCCAACTCTGTCCACTCCCCTGCTCACATTCCCCACCATTCTCTTGATCTATTGTGGCATCTCTGCCTCAGGCCTCGGGCCTCCCGGATGTATATACGTTCTGCAGGCGGGCAATCTGATTTCATTTAGACTGCAGCTCAAATGTCTTCGCCTTAAAAAGTCTTCCTCGGGCAAACTAAAATAATGCATACCCTGAAGAAAAAGGATTAATCCTTTCTCCAAGGGACAATGGTTTTGAGATTTACCTTCTACCACAGTTTCCCTGGAAACATATCAGATTAAGATAAATATAGAATCTCAGCTTGTTCTCAGACAATTTTACTATAAAAATGACCCCAGACAGTGCACTGTCTCTAGACTTGGAAGGCTGTAAATGAATTGTAAATACCCGCTGGGAAGCACAAGCTGAAGCTTCCTATACACATTGGGGAGGAGAGGGAAGATATAGTTAGGTGTGGATGGAAATATTATACAGGGGACCAAAATAAAAGTTAAGGGCCAACTACTCCAAAGGATTCTAAATCTGCATGAATTTCATTTCACAAAATTCTTAAGCTTGGGCCGAAACCGGTTTGGCTCGGTGGATAGAGCGTCGGCCTGCGGACTGAAGGGTCCCGGGTTCGATTCCGGTCAAGGGCATGTACCTTGGTTGCGGGCACATCCCCAGTGGGGAGTGTGCAGGAGGTAGCTGGTCGATGTTTCTCTCTCATCGATGTTTCTAACTCTCTATCACTCTCCTTTCCTCTCTGTAAAAACTCAATAAAATATATTTTAAAAAAAATTCTTAAGCTTGGCCAACCGCTCTGAATTTGAAATTCCAGATAGTATCATCAACCATGCTCCAGTTCTTCTGGGCGAAAAAAAGATTTTTTTCTCCAAGCTCTTCTTTCAACCTAGACTCTAAATGCTACCACATGACAGAAAAACAAACCAAACTACTTTCTTGAGATCAAAGGTAAGTGGGCTATCTACCTACCTATCAGCAAATTTATTCCTCTGCCATGCCCCCCTTGAAATCCTCAGATGCGTTTCTTGGGTATCATTTGGTAGCTCAGACCAGAAGTATTGCACATAGTTTTGCAGTATTACACAAATAATTTGTTACCAATATAAAGTATCAAATTTTGGCTTACAATCTTTTCCCCTTAGATCAGTTAAAAAACATATCCCTTTAATAAGTCCAAAAAAGGAAGGAGGTAGAGGAGAGTGGTTAGACCTAATAAGCAATCACACTGTACAATGCTAGTCCATGAGCATGCGCCTGGCCCTTGCATGTTACCAGGAAATAATACATTATCCTAGCCCTTGTGCAACTTACTGAGGAAAGAAGGTTTGAAAACATCTGTCTTCAGTGCCTGAGTAACTCTAGTAGGGATGGAAAACAAAAACTCATTCTTATTTGGGATCATGGCTTCTAAACTATGACGAAAAGCAAAAATGGCAAAAGGAATTTTTACTGAAGGTAATTATTTTTCCTTACATTCTATAACTTCACACCGTAAGTTCTAATAGTACATAATATGTAGGGCCAAAAAAAATTATAGAAAGAATGTGGAAACAAAGTAAACTATTATGCTCTAGAGAAAAAGATGAAGAAAATATGGCA